TTTTTTTTTTTTTTTTTTTTTTTTTCGACAACTCAAAATTCTTCACCTACATAAATAACACCAAAGCTTATCTCTGGATTGATTAAGTAGGTTGCTTTTAAAAATAGAGGAATGCGCTAGGGGACTAACTGTAACCTGAGATTTCTCTATAGTCTAAACTACATGATCTTTATTAACGCCACGAAGCAAATTGCTACCAGTGAAGTGAGAGGCGATCAAGTGGAGACAGTTACACCGCTGGAATGTCAGTGCATAAGAGAAATGAAGGTTGCACCGAGCAAGGCACTCCTAGTCTGTCTCTTTACACCCAGTACGTACCAACCGATATTCCTGTAGATCGCGAACCAGTGCAAACGAAACTACGATTATATTCCTTATGATTTTTTTAGCGGCAGAATAATAGCGAGAAGACGGTATTGCGCAATTGCACCTATATCCCACGATGACTAACCGTCGTTGAATTTACCGAATCGGCAAACATCTGTTAAAGAAAAGACCTTACGTGTACATGAGTATACTAGAGAAAGTATCGGTCGATTATTTGAATAACAAAGAAGATAAAGAAAAATAGGAACGCTCGTTAAATCCAAAGCGCAGCAATGAAAGAGAGCAAGCATGAAAATCGTAAGGATCGTAATTTATTTTTCAATGCACGACGGGAAGTCATGGCTGTTTAAAATGTCGTCGGGTCTCCGTGGAAAGTGCATTGTCTGCATATTAAAATCATTGCAAAGAATCAAGACGCTACTGCTATATGCATAAGTCCATTTCTTACCACCAGGATAATACCCATGTCCCCCTATCGGTATACACTTCGCACGGCCTCCACTGATTTCGTTTTCCGCGCCACCTGACACTTCTCGTTCAACGATCCGATGCTAACCTAACCTCACTCAGCAACGACGTCAGCTCTTTTACACGCTTCCACCGAAGCACAACGATTCCCAATGGGAAAATTCAATCTTATGCTGTTTCTTCGTTCAGCAATAGGTCTCCGCCCTAGGAATTTATTCTGGTTCTCTACACCGTCTACGTATGTACGTAACTACTTGCACGAGCACAATCTTCCAGAAGACTGTATAGTAGTCTTGCTACCTGAGGGAACTTTTGACCCTCCCATTACAATCAAACGAACGCTTTCCGGTCCAAGTGCCCAACCCTCCACAAGGGTCAGACAACCGGGCTCAACCGGATCATAGAGTACAGCGGAGTACAGGGTCCGTCTAGGTCACGTTAAACTTTTACTGCATTTTATGATTCTGTATATATAGTACAGTATAGGGCAAGAGTTATACTTATGCGTGTGCATTGTGCTGCCATAAATATATATATACTGTCTGGTGTAATATCGATCTCGTTAACCACTCGGTTGTGTACGCGGGTTATGCACCTCTTGTAGTACGGCAGTCTCGTCACGAGACGAACGCAGCGCCCTCCGACTTCCGTTCTCGTTGTACAAATGAAATACTTTACGTACCTATTTTATGCACTGTACATGTACAGT